TCATCTCACGCTCAGGCAGAAATTACTTTTTTGTCCCTTTACCTTCCTTTCTCCTCGGCCTTGGCTAGGGAATTCCACTCTGCCCTCACTTGCTTAGGAGGAAACATTATTTACAACGCTGTAGCTCAAGCCTTCTCCAGCCCAAGGGAGAGGTTTACGTTTAAAAATCGGGCTGCGGGCTTTGCAGCAGCTAGCTGCCCTGGGGGGCCAGAGCGGAGCCGGGGTGGGGGACGCACCTTAATAGCTCACTAGGCTCTGGAGGGTATTTGAAACTTTTCCTCCCCACCCTCCGCCCTCGGGTTGTTTCCCTTGCCTGCCGGCTAACCTTTACACTAGTTGTACCCAGCCCACGCACTCTTTAAACCTGGTCTGTAGTTGAATATTTTGCCTTTTCTAAATCCAGCTTCCATCAGAATGTTGGGCGCGCCCGGGAAGTGCTTCCCTTTTGCCCCTTCCTTAGGCCACACGAACCTACCCTCACATCTGGCCACTAAAGCCCCTGTAGAGACCGTGTCCCCCTTTTGACGTCCTTATGGCAAACGCTCAGGTAACACACGGAAGAAGGAGGTAAAGACGGATGGCCTCAGGCTCCAGGTCTTCGGCGTCGTGGGTTGTTGTTGTTGTTGTTGTTTAACTCCTGGGTTTTTGTTTGTTGTTTACTTAAAAAATCTTACTAAGGCACCTAAACAAATTGAAACTATGCCCATCACCTATTTAAAGGAAAAGAATTCTCTTTTTTTCAAAGAAGAATGAGTGTTCTGATTTAACGGACAGTGGAGGAGGATGCACCTGTGAAATGACAGCGCAAAAATTCCACTCAGTTTTAGGAATGTAGAATTAAAACTCCAATATATCTCCTAGAAGGATCTCTGGGTAGTCCCACCCACTATCTTTCCGGGGATGAGGCAGATGTAAAGGAATGAATGGCTTTGTTAAAGAAAATGTTTTCCAGCCTGAAGCCCATCATCCTTCATTTCGCTTAACCTTGAAAGAATTAAGTATGCGACAAATTATTTAAAAGTTATATTTGAGTGATCATAATGGGTGGTTTTAAAAACACTTTAATGTGAGATCATGGCTTAGGCCTTCCGTGGTTGAGTGACTTATCAGTTCTTTATATATGCAGCTGCTATGTTATGGCTTATCTGGGTCCACTTTTAAGTTAGCTGTCTGGTTTCTCTATACACTCAGCATACCTCAGATTACATTGTCCTTTTATCCTCCAGAAAATGTGTACCCAAGGTATGAAAACTAACTTTCATATTACTCTAAGCACAACGTCATTATGATAGCAGGTCTGCTGAAAAACCATGAATATCAACTACACTTGTAATTTTTCCTCTGAAAAATTAGAGATGACTTAAAATTGCTTTTTTTGATGCAGAGCATCTTAATGGGGTAAGGTTTTGCCACTCAGTAGTGCTTATAGGCCCCCAGATAAAACTACAATTGTGTTGTTGAAAATAAGTTACTTTTTTTTTAGTTTTTAAAAATTAATTAATTAATTTTTTTGATGTAGTGTTCCGTGATTCATTGTTTGTGTGTAACGCCCAGTGCTCTATTCAATACATGCCCTCCATCGGGAAAATAAGTTACTTTTAAAAACATCTTGGTGCTTACCGCTTATGGCATGTGGCCCAGGGGCCAAGGTTTTGTGGATGTTTAAATATTTCTAATTTTTTTCCTTTGATGTTGCTGTTAGTAAATGTGCACCCGATACCAGTCATACAGGTATGTATAACAATACTATACATCAATTTGTAATAAAATCAAAAGTGAGATTTCTTTTTATGGTTGACAGAACTTGGGAGCAAGCTTATTTTCTTGGACTCTAATGATTGAGTGTTCATGAAGTAGTTACAGAAGATACCATGCAGTTTTTTTCCTTTTTCTTTCTGTATAATTTTAAAAGAACATTTTATATCCCATTTCTCTATCATTAGGACATTGTGCCTCTAATAAAGCCAGGGGTTTGTTTTTTCTGCTTCACACATCAATATCCTCGTTAGAGGAAATGTTTTAATCATCTCAAAGATATGAATGGTATCTTCTCTCCATATTAGTGCTAGGGATATTGGTGACCTTCTCCAGAATAAAATGGATGGTAGTGGAGTTGACTGATTGTTGACTGAAGTAGTCTGGTATTGGGACTTTTATATCAGGAAGAATATTGATACTTACAAGAATTGCTTTAATTTTTCATAGTTAAGTGATTTATTTCTGAAGTCATGCCAAATTGGGATATCATAAATACGTGGAAGATTTTTTTAGGTAGAGTGTTTATTAGGTGGAATAGAATAATCTTTATGCTGAAAAGGTTGGCAGTAAGAGAAAAAGGCAGGTTTAGTTTGTAAAGGTCTTTTCTAGTGGTGGAAAGAACATATTTTTATGGAAAGGTAATTATACCCATACTTACTATCAGTAGAATATGCAACTTAGATTTATGGATACTGTGTGTAAAATTGTACTACCCCTACTATACAAATACGAGTTTTTTTGTGCAGTGAAGTGGATAGGTTTCTCTAATTTAAATGTACCATCTCTCTTGTGACCAGTGGCAACAACTCACTGAGGGTAGTAATGTCATTTGTGACCAGAACAGTTTTTCCTCTGAAGTATACTATGAATTGACTGCTCCATAGGAAGAATTTGTTGACACTGTGATCATAACTTTAATTTTTGAGTGTTTACTATGTGCCAAGCATTGTGCTAATATGGCAATGTACATTATCATATTTAGTCTTTGCAACAGACCTATGAGATATATACCATTGTTATCCCCACTTTACAGATCAAGAAGCTATGAATCATAGAGGTTAAGTAACTTCCAAAAAATCACATAGGTACTAAGTTGTGGGGCTGGAAATTGCAACAGCTTGACTCCAAATTCTTTACCCTCAATGACTGTACTATACTACCTCCTTTGTATATGGTCTATAGAGACTTATTTGCTGTTCAGAGTGTTTGGATCTCTGCTACCTTTTTTTTTTTGGTGGTGGAGACACAGGAGGTGAAATGGAAATGATAATGGGGATTACATCTCTTCCTGCTGATGTTAGGAGAAGTAGCATCGTATAATGGAAACAGCTTTGGACTTAGAATAAGAGATCATAATAGAGATCAGTTTGATTTTTGTACATATATCTGCATATAGAGAGATAATTTAAAGCAATCTAGAAGCAATTGTGTGTTGCAGGTGTGATTTTATACAATCACATATAAAAAGTTAGATTTATAAAACAACTATAATTTGTGGTGGATGATTATTTTGAAGAAGGTTTTGCTTTTTGCTCGATCCCAGGACCCTGGGATCAGGACCTGAGCCGAAGGCAGATGCTTAACGACTGAGCCACCCAGGCGCCCCACTCCCCATTTTTTTTTTTAAAGATTTTATTTATTTGATAGAGCACAAGTAGGCAGAGTGGTAGGGAGAGGGAGAAGCAGGCCTCCCGCTGAGCAGAGAGCCTGATGCATGGGGCTCCATCTCAGGACTCTGAGATCTTGACCTGAGCCAAAGGCAAACGCTTAACTGACTGAGCCACCCAAGTGCCCCTTGCCTCTACATTTTGATTGGAATCCTGTTGATCCAAATCTTTGCTCAGTTTCAGCGTGATGTTTATATTCATCCAGCAGATATTTATTCAGCAACTTATAAGTACTTAAGAATTGTATATGTTGTTCTAGAACTAATGATGTAATGTATGGGGATTAACATAAGAATAAAAAAAAAAAGAATTGTATATGTTGTTTTATTGCCACCCTCTTGGATATGTTCTGTTCGCAAAATCATTCTGTGCTAGACAATGTGAATAAAACTAAATAAGATAGACAGGTTTCTTGCCTCCATGGAGTTTACGTGCTAGTGAGAATAGTCTTTCTGTGAAACTTTCCCTTACTATTACATATCAATGGCTGATTTTAGTCTTCTTTGAACATTTGTAATATTTAGCCTCTTCCTGTCTAGTATCTAAATGTATTTGGTCTTTTTTTTTTTAAAGATTTTATTCATCTATTCATAAGAGAGAGAGAGAGAGGCAGAGGGAGAAGCAGGCTCCCCACTGAGCAGGGAGCCCGATGCGGGACTCGATCCCAGGACTCTGGGATCATGACCTGAGCCGAAGGCAGACGCTTAACCATCTGAGCCACCCAGGTGCCCTAAATGTATTTGGTCTTACAAGCATTTTGTTTCATGGGATTTTATCTGTTCTCCCTATTAGATTATAGGCAAGAACTGTATATTTGTTCATTTGTTCAACCAATTTACATGTTGGTTTTGTCTAATAGCAAAAGTAATACATGCTTAGTATTGGAAACTTGAAAAATGCAGAAAATTATAAAGAAGAAAATAAAAACATGTCCACAGTTCTATCAACAACATAGAAATTGGGGTTCCAATTATTGTTTAATGATTTTCCTCTTTAAAAATTGGTTAAAATTTTTAAAAATTGGGATTACTTTATATACAGTTGTATATTGTAATGCTTTTTTCATTTATTAAGCATTTTCCCATGTTATTAAAATTCTTTGTTTAAAGATACTAGTTTTAGGGGCACCTGCTTGGCACAGCCAGTTAAGTGTCCGACTCTTTGTTTTAGCTCAGGTCATGATCTCAGGGTCCTGGGATCAGGCCCCATGTCGGGCTCCACGCTCAGCAAGAAGTCTGCTTGAGATTCTCTCTCCTCCCTCTGCCCCTCCTGCTCATGCTCTCTCAAATAAATAAATAAATCTTAAAAAAAATAAAGATACTAGTTTTAAATGACTGTATATAAGTTATACATACCACAATTAAATTACCTATTCACTTTGTTCTTCTTTTTTTCAAAATTTTATTTAAATTCAAGTTAGTTCATATATAGTGTAGTATTAGTTTCAGGGGTAGAATTTAGTGATTCATCAG